CCACTTTGAGCACCTCTTGTAATTGCAGAAGTCAAACATGACTTGTATTCATCTTTTGTTATCAGTATATATTGAGTATTACAATTTTAATAGTTTTTTTCCTTTCTTAAAATGTGTATACATATTTTTGGCACCCTTTTAAGTCACTTATTATTTTTGCCTGGAGGCCCTGGAAATTTTTCTGTATCTTTCAAGTTGTACAGCTTTACTAGAATATAACCTAGTTAGCTCCTGGTATGAACTTTTAATGTATAGATTCAGACCTTATATTTCCAGAAAGTTTTCTTGGGTGATAATTATAACCTTATTTTTTTCCCTCTTGAGGGATAATTACACACATTACATTGTTTGGACCCACCTTTCATGTCAAAGTTAAAAAAATCAATCTCATTTCATTCTCGCTTTCCTTCTTTTCTTCAATGTCTTTTATTATGCTCACATTTGAATCTATTGTTCAGTGAGAACCTTATAGTTTTCATTTCTGATGATTTTTTTTTTTCCTTTTCTGAGTTTAATCCACTTGGACTTTCTTCCAGTTTTTGTTCCTTTCTGTTCTTGGTTTCCTATTTCTGATTCAAGGTGTTTTTTCCCCATCAGTTGAAATGCTCTGATTCACACTGTACTTCATATGAATCTTCCATGCCTCTGAACTCTTCCAGTGAACCTGTTAAACTTTCCCTCTCCCATTCTGCATATCCACAGGAATGGGCAGAAGGAGCTCTTGGAATCTGATTTCTCTACTTACAGGTAATTTGAAGGTTGTCCTTAATCTATTTATTTATTTATTTTTTTTAAGCTGAGTCATTCTGCCAGCTGTTGGCAGCTGAGCCCTGGTCGGGAATTGAACCTGCGACCCTGTTGCTCAGAGCTCACACTCTTGAGCAAGCTCTTAACCAACTGAGCCACTCGGCCGGCTCTTTAATCTGTTTCTTAATAATGCTGAGGGCATGGGTGGTGTGTGATTTCTATGTGCTCTCTGTTGGTTTTATAGGTATATAGAAAGGTGGGTGGGAAAATTGGATCAGGCCAGACCTAGAAGTCTACACATACATATTTAAGTTGTATGTTAAAATATGTTATTTTAGAAATATTGCTTTGCCATTTTCTGAAACACTTTACCTGTCATCATTAGATTCAGTTTTTGTATCATCTAACGGTTTTCCAGAGTAAGTCTTCATTTTCATCTAACAGAAACATTTTGCCTTATTAGAGTTTATTTGTAAATTCCATAATAATCTCTTACAGGATAATTTTTGCTGGTGATTTGTAAAAGGTCTCATGATTATTAATACAACTAATATTTATAGGATACTTAGTATGTGCTAAGCACAGTCGAAGCACTTAATGTGTAATGATGTATTTAAACCTTACAAGTATTATTACTCACATTTTACAGATGAGTAAGCGAAGGCTCCAACAGGCTAGCTACCTGCCCAAGGTCATACAGCTAAAATGAACACTAGGACTATGAATCAAGGGAATAATCTAAAATCTATGTTAAATTTTAAACTTCTTTTTCTTTTTTCTTAATTATGGTTCTGTTGACTAACTTCTGCAAGCTTAGAAAACAAGGATCAAATAAAAGCTTTTCAGGTAATGTGCCTTTTCGAATACTTTACTCTTCACAAAACTGAAAAATCATGTTCGATGACTAAGGCCTTGAATATAATGTGACGGGATGATTGCAGGTGGGGAAACCTCACCTAATATTGGGGCATACATGGTAACACCTCATCCACCAGAGAAAGTCAAAAGATAACATCTAAAATTCATGCTCTGTGTAATAGAAGCCTAATACTTAGATATTAGATGAAAAAGCTAAAACAATGAAAAGTAGTTATCTTGTGAAAGCTGAATTGGGAAGAGAAAACAATTGCTGCAAGGGATACTTTTTCAGCAGTACTCGTATCACTGTTTAACACTGCACTATCAAGTACATATATATCATAAAAAAATTAATTTTTGTAAGGTATAAACCACCTTTTGAAAATTCATTAAACTGATAAAAATTGAGATTGATAATATCTGGCATTGGCAAATTTATGCCATTTGTTTGGAAGGCAATTTGACATTACTTATGAAAACTTAAAAAAAAAAAAGAGTATGCCTTTTGACTGGGTTAACTCCATTTTTAGGAATCTGTCCTTCAGAGATACTCCTAGGACACAAGAATCTGTGAGGAAGGATGTTTCTTGCAGCAGCAATAATGTAATAGTGAAAAATTGGAGGCAATCTAACCATCAGTAGATTGATTAGCAACAGGTGAAAATTGGAAACTATGAATGGTATGACTCATTTTTTATTAAATTAAACAATATATGTTGGTATATGCACAGATTAATATATCTATATTTGTTTATGTATGCATTTAGAAAGATCCTAGAAGGAATAGATAAACTCCTAACAAAGTGAGACTAGGATGGGAGAATGAGTTTAGTTTTTCTATATTTTTCATTTTCTATTTTTAAAAAGCAAATGTGTAATTTTTCTGCAGTGAAAAATAAAACAAAATACAGGCTCTTATAGTGACAAAATGTAAGGAGTCACAAATCACAGCCAATTTAATTTCCCTACTGTAACTGTCACCCTGATGAACCTTCCTCCCTATAAAATCTACAAAGGAATTAAAAAGTATAGCCATTAACTTGCTGTTATAATCAACCAAAAGTTCCAATAAAAGTGTAAACTTTTCTAGGAGTAATTTTACAGAAAATATTGGAAATTCTAAAGGCAAATATGTATAAATATACAAACAAATAATGGCACAATTTCCATATGAATAAACTCATCAAAATTTAGCAACTCTCCATTATCCAAGTCAATAGGGTGGCCCACATAATTTTCTTTCTGAAAATTTTTTTTATTAAAATTTATTGGGGTGACAACGGTTAGTAAAATTACATAGGTTTCAAGTGTACAATTCTGTAATACATCATTTATATATCACAGTGTGTGTTCACCACCCAGAGTCAGTTCTCTTTTCATCACCATATATTTGAATAATCTTCAAAGTTTCATCTTTAGTCATGATCTGTTTACTAAATCCTTAAATTCGAAAGTTGTATGTGTGAACTTATAAAGTTCAATATAAGAAATAATACTCTATGATGACTAGACTCAGCAGGAGCTAGAGAGATGTTTAGCTCTTACTGGTCTCTTTCTCATTCCACCAATAGATAGAAGCAGTTTGGCATATTGATACAATTCACTGGCCTAAACAGAAATGCCTTCATTCTTTCTAAGCTTACTATTACATTATCAGGAAAATAAATGGTAAGTATTTGGGATTATTGGGTTTTTGTTTCCCATAAATTCAATGTGAAAGAAAGAATAATTCAGACCAATGATACAATCAGAAGGAAAAGGAAAGCAATAATATCCTCAATAAACCACCTAGAGAAACTGAAAAGTACCCGGGGAATCAGAGGACAGGCCAATATATTACATAATATTCTAAAATTTAAAGCAACCGTGAGCAAAAGGAAGCTATTCTTTGATCTATAAGAAATACAAACTTCTACCTCTTTGGGTTTGGCTCTACCACTTACGACTTTGGATATAACAATTACTTGGGTCTCAGTTTCCCTCTCTTCTAAATAAGGAAAACACCACTTACCACACAGGAAGGATGTATGATAAAACAACTAATTCACATGAATAGGCTTTCAGTTCTTCAGAAGAAAGCTATGAATCCTTAAGTATGAACCTGAAAAGCTAATTAAAAAAAGATGACCATGTCAAAATTAAGTCTGAAACACAGTAGCATAGAGAGTCTTTTTAAGATCATCATCAGCTATCAATTCAACCCCAAATAACAGAATTCATACTAAAGCTGTAGTACAAATGTAATTTGAGCAATCAAACAATATCATTTATTAACGTTAATAAAGCAAAACCAAGTTACACAGGTTATTCAGCATCATGATTTGGTACAACCTAAAAATATTAATGTAAAATGATGATATTCTCTTGGTGTTTATCTTTTAAAAATATAGTTGGAGCTGGTTGTTCAAAATATACATAACCACTGAATAGTAATAACTATAGGTTATTAATAATTAAACAATTAAAATAGGGTTAAACATATATGTGTACACAGGGGTTATTTTTCTGGTGCATAAAATAATTGGAAACTAGCTCATTAAAGTTTTGAAGTCTAAAAAGTAAAGTAATAGATGGTATTATTCAATATTTAATTGAGCAATATATACAAATCATTATGCTAAGCACCAGAAATTTTAAAAAGTGCTAGATTTAACATGCATGCCCTACAACTAGGCTGCAAACTATGGCCAAATATCAGGGAGGACAAGAAATTACTGAATTAATTAAGGAGTACTGTAGACAACCAGTTCTAAAAGAATGAAGCAGGAATTGGAAAATATAGTGAAAAGGGAAAGAGAGAATGGGGTTCTGGGAAGATAGCCTAACATTTAAATTATTGTTTATAGCAGCTTACATTTTCTTATACAGTGGCCATTACATCTGACTGGAGGTTTACAGGAACCTCAGGAGGGAGGGAGGCGGGGCTTATGCTCAGTCCATACTTTAGATGAGGAAAATGAAGTTCAAAGAGATTAGGCAACTAACTGCCTAAGATTACAAGTCAGGAGATGGCAGAGCTAGAGCCCAGGCAGTTTGCCAACTTTGTCCAGCGCTCATTTCTACTATGCTAGGTTATCAATTCTGAACTGAGAACTAGAAGGGAGCTCAGAAATCTAATGCAGTGTTTCCCTAACCAATATAATAAAAAACTTTTTGGGACATGCATTAAAAACAGATTTCTGGGCCCCACTACAGACCTACTGAATAACAACCTACAGGAGACAGGCTTTATATTTTTACAAGAACCCTAAGAGGTGATTCTAGTGATTAGCTAAGCTTGGAAAGTACCGTTGTATATCTGTATGTTCAATATGGTAGACATGTGGCAATTTACATTATGTCAATAAAATACAAAATTGGGTTCCTCATTCACATTAGCTACCTTTTAAGTGCTCAATAGCCACATGTGGCTAGTGACTACCACACTGGACAGCACTGATATAGGGCATTTCTATCATTATAGAAAGTTCTATTGGATAACACTGATTCTAAACCAGCCCTTCATCTGCAAGGATTAGAAAACTGAGGCAAAAGATCTTGTTCAAAAGGTGCCATGAAGCTAGTTAGTGGCAGAATTGAAATTCTAACCCTAGTCTGCCAGCGTCCCTCTTCCTATATCACTTCATCCCACCTCAAACTCACGATTTACTCAAATAGAATTATTTTCTTTCCACCCTTTCTTGTGGGTTCCAGCAAAGCAACATGAGAAATTCTAAATTTATGGGGGAAAATCTCCTAATAAAAAAATTTTATTAAAATAATTACAATTAAATCTAAACCAATTTGCATAAAATTAAAAGTAGTCCTGGACCGTTAAGAATACCATGGTATTAGGAGGTATATATCTTAGCTTGTTTTAACCATTTTAAGTCCTTCCTCTTCTATTGTTCTGATGTTTTCAATCTTTCTTTAGGATTTGAAATCCTGAAGCTAATGATATATTTCAACTGTGAAAAGGTTAAATCTTATTTAGAAAACATTTTAAAGATGAAAAACTGAGAACAAACAGCAACCAAAAGAATAGTGACACTTCTAATTTTAGAATGTGGTCACTCAAACCACTGCACTCCTGGCTTAACAGTAATTTGGTGGTTCAGTCTTTATGACATTAATATGCTGTTTTCACTTCTAAGCTACAGTTTTACTTTCTTTTGATTCTATGTTATGTTTTAAACCAATTTAAATTGTTAACTTCCAATGTGATTGAGGGGCTGGAAGTATCTAGGAAGGTTTAGACACTAATTAGGTCAACATATAGCCAGCCATAAAAAATACAGCACTGTGGTCTTTAAAAATAAAACCAGTTGTTCCTGTCTAGTATGTTTAGAATGCAAATGACTGCAAAGTCAGTCAACTTAAGTCATGACAGTTCATGTTTAAAGCAAGCAGGAAATAACTTGGAGCTCCATATTAAAACTTTAAAGACAGACTTATACAGCTTTATTAATTCTTTTTAGTATCTAGTATTCATTGCCATGTTAATCACTAGTAACTAGATTTAGAGAAAATACTGTATGTCAAAAGTTTGTATAAAATTAAAAATTAAATGGTTAAAAAACATAGCCTAAATAAGATACTCATGAACAGATACTTATTCAAGACAGTTTTTGCTATAATTTGCAAGGCACCCAGAAGCCTTGAGTATGGCTATAATTTGCAAGGCACCCAGAAGCCTTGAGTATGGGTTCTATATAAATAGAAACTATTTGTTATTCAGAGGAGGCAGTGCAAAAAAAGACAGCTATTTCTTTCTAAATGCTCTCTGGTGTTGAGGTAAACAAATGAAAAAAATATATAGTTTAAGCACACCAGAGCAGAACAACAGTCTCTAAGTCATTAAATGGGGGGAGAAAAAAAAGTCTGTGCTCTAACATTTTAAACGGGACTGGGAGTTTAAAGTGAAATTTTTTCTCTGGCTTTTAGACTAGATTCATTCGTTATTTCTACCTTTTACCTGTTATGTCTGGACTCCCACTTTACCATATTAGAAAGAGGAAAATGTGCCAACAAAACTACTTTTGGAGGCAGTATAGCTCACCCAATGAAGAACATCAAAAAACACTAAGTGACAGACAATATGTAGAAACTGAACCATCTCAACTACCAAGTGATAAATACTGGCACATATTAATGTAAAAAGCATGAAAAATATTGCAAACGGAGCAAATATTACAGTAGTGCAAAAGTTTCAAATCTCATAAAAGAGTTGGAAAAAAAACAAAATAAAAAATGAAAACATCGTGGAGGGGCCCTGAGAAGGAAGACCAGCTTGAAAGGAATATATAGGTCAGGAGGAGGGTTTCTTCTGATCATCCCTCTAACAGCTTCACTGCTATCCCCAAGAGGCAATTTTAGGCATCCTTAGGGAAGAGTGATTTAGGCAACAAGCAAAGGTGCTTTCAGACGGGAGAACTATAGAGATGCTGCTTAAATTTCAAAAAGATGACAAACTGGTGAGAGAGAACAGCCACGAAATTCCCAAACCGTAATTTCCAAGCTTTCTGTAGTAAAATATCAACCCTTCTCAGACACATTAGCCAGCCCTTTTGAAACTGACCCAGCAAAGTTTTCAGCGGGACCTCACTCTCTCTCAAACCCTCCTCCCTCCACTTCCCTGATGTTCTTTCCTGGCACACAAAATATAGGCCAATGAGCGGTGGGGGTGGGTGGGTGAGTGAGGAGGATGTGAGAGAAAATTTGAGAAGTAAAAAAGGGAGCAGCGTAACCAGGACGTGAAGAGACTGCAGGGTCTATTAAGGGTAGGCAAACAATCAGGACAATTGAAAACCAGAACAGGCTTTCCTGGGTAGCAGTGAACGCTCAGTGTTCCTAGGAGTTTAAGCAGAGGCCAGATTACCTACCACTTGTCAGGGAAGCTGCAGAGGGGACGGCTGCGTTGGGTGACCTCTAATGTCTCTTCCGACTCTGAAACGTTAGGATTCTTATTTCACAAAAGAGAACGCAATGGTCATGGAAGCCCACCGACCTATTTAGCACCCTTTTAACTTGGAACGGCCTAGGCGGCTGCTTCCCAAACACCACTCCCACCTCTCCCTCCCACATGTGCCCACCCCGCCCCCTTTCAATATTTCCACCTCCACGTGCGAAATGCCTCGCGGCACTCGCCCTAAATCGGACGGGCGCCTTCCCCTACAAAGTACTACAACTATGCCCCCCCACACACACCCTGGGGGAAGTGAGGACTCCACTCTCCCACCGGGGCGGCTAAAAAAGGAAAAGTCTCAAATCCAGCCTTTTCCTACAGCCAGAGATAAAGGGGGAGGGGGTGGGACGCAGAGGAAAACTTTCTTCTAAAATTTTTCTTCCAGAGAGCGGAGAGCGTAGACAGAACCCCGAGGAGTGCGGGGCTGAGGGGATGGGGGGAGGGGAACCCCCCAAATCGTTTAACGGCCGGTAGGGGGAGGGGAACTCTGGAGGTTGAGGGGGCGTGGGATGGAGAAACAGGCCTGGGAGCCGGGTCAAGGAGCTGCAGGAGTTCCCAGGGTCGGGGAGTTGCAGGAGTTCCCCCCACCTGGTACACAAAGCGGCTGCCGCGCTAGGCTCTCACCAGATCCTTTGTGTTTTCCATCAGGGCCTCATGGGTAGGGGTTGTCCGTGCTCCCCGGGCCGGCGGCGCCCTCTCCCCAAGCTGGGGTCAGGCGCCTCTCCCCGGGACTACGGCGACTACAGGGGTGCCCCGGATGGGCCCAGACCGGTGGCGGCTGCGGCAGCCCCCGGATTTCCCCCCTTTAACTCGGGTGGCCCCAGGATATCAACAACATTAGCATAGCCCTCCCTCCCCAGCGCGCCTGCGCCGTGACCCGCGCCCCGATTGGCCCACTTCCCTACATACCCTCCTCTCTCTCGTCCAGCGTGGGACCCTCTGCAGGCTCCGTACTCCAAGGGACGTACCAAGACGGAGGGGTGGAAAAGGCAATTGAGGCTCCTGTTAAGTCGAGCGGTTAAAAAGTCAGGAGGAAGAGAAGTTTCATTCAGTCATATTAGTTTATACTCTGGCTTTCTTGTGCTCCTTTCAATCAGTTGAAGCTGCTAAGTTGTGTTGGAAAAAATTTTCCACTCCAGTCACGCCGCCTCCCCTTCCACCCGGAAGATTGGTCCTCCCGAAGGAACTCCCATATGGGGAGGGGCTCGTGAGGGGAGTGGGCGTTACGTAGGGAAAAAGAGTGTTGGTCACGTGCTAGCAAGCTGCGCAGGCTCCTTCCGGCCCGCGGGGGCCTTAGCCACAGCGGAGAGACAGGCGTCTCGGCGCACGCGCAGTGAGGTTCCACGTGAGCGCCTGCGTTTCTTCTCAAACCCAACGATGCCGCCTGAACGGAGCAGCCGAACGAGACCGGACCGGAAAACCGGAACGAGGCCGAACCAGAAGACCCGAATGAAGCAGGATCGGAGAGCCAGAGTGGGGCGCGACGGGCCGCCCCGAAAGGCTGATCCTTCATCCCAACGGAAACCGCCGGCTCGGCCGAGAGCAGCGGCCGCTGCGATCGCAATTGCGGTGGAGGAGGAGAGACGGCTCCGGCAGCGGAACCGCCTGACGCTGGAGGAGGACAAGCCGGCAGTGGAGCGGTGCCTGGAGGAGCTGGTCTTCGGCGACGTCGAGGACAATGAGGACGCGCTGCTGCAGCGTTTGCGAGGCCCGCGGGTGAGGGAGTCCGCGGCGTGCGGGCGGGGCGCGCGGTAGGCGGCAAGCCTCCGGGGGCGGAGTCTAGGCGACCTGCGGCGCCGGGGAAACCTCAGGTGGGAGGGAGCCCGAGAACGCGGGCGCGGTGGAGGGGGTCGGACGGAAAGTCTCCGGAGGGCGGAGATCGCGCCTTTCCCCGCCCCCGTGGGCTCCGCTGCGCCTGGTATCCAGCAGGCGCTCAACGCGTGTTTATTTAGCGAACGGTGGTCACGCGCAGCTTTCGTGATTCAGCTCCACTATCCTCAAACTTAGTGTTTCTTTCCTTGTGTTCGTACGATCGCCTGCCTCGGTACCTTGCGGTGATTCAGGAGTTCCGCTTCGTTTGTGGACTCTGAATTCGTGGGCACGGGCCTGGGAATCGCCCTTTCAACATCTCCCCAAGTCATTGACTCGCCAACTTTTGAGAAGGACCACGTTATTCGTCTACTCTAATATTTGTGAGCCTGTAGGGTACTAGATACTTTTCATGGCATTAAAAACCCTGTTATTATAATTTTTCACACTTTCTCCCATCCTTTTTATTATATTCCTGGGTTTTTTTCAAAAATAGTCCCAGGCATTGTTCTAGGCACTGGAGGGGAAACAGCAATGGATAAAAATTGACAAAAATCCCTGCCCTCCAGGAGTACTAGTGGCAGAGGCAGAAGAAAGAGGAGATAAGGACTACTGTAAAGCTCAAGTATGTCAATGACAAGTGCTGAAAAGAAAAAAATGAAAGCACTCGGGAAAAGGGAGATAAGTGTGTGTAGAGAAGGTCTGTGGAATTGTACATAGGATGGTCAAGGAAAGCTTCACTGAGTTCCACAGTTTGATAAATGAACATGGACCTAGCAGGTATCAGCTGATGGATTGCCAGAACCTCCTTTGCTTATGGATGAATCTGCAGAAATCTAGTAGGGAGTTAAGAGAGCTACTACTGGAAAAGTGCTGAACTGTGTTGACAGTTTCTTAGTCAGGAAAGAAACAGTTTCTGTGAGGTGGGATTTGTTGGGTTTTGAAGAACCATAGGCTGGTAACAGAGCAAGTAGAAATCATTTGGACATTTCTATCAAGTGATTTTGGGAGAGCTCAAGCTCACTTCGGGGGCATATTCTGTGGTCTACATTTAGACTTGATAGCACAGTATAAAGTTTTTTTAAAGAGGTAGGGCATCAAGAATGGTTAAGCAAAATGGGGAAGAGGTAGGTCTAAGAACATGAAATACGAGTTCGCTATGACATTCAATCATGTTATTGTATCTCTGATGCTAGTTTGCCTCTGGTCCCTTCGTTTCTGCAGTTCTGGGATTTTATTTTTTTTCTGCTCCTATCTGTCATCTTACCTTTTGTCATTCTTGTCTTGGTGTTTTCCTATGAGCATGTAGACTTTTGCTCCTTGACTGTTCCGTCTACCTCCTGTCCAGCCTGTGGTGCCTTTCTCTAATCTTATTTTCTATTCTGCCTCCAGCATTTGCTGTGGTAGCATTCTGTCCTATTGTTTCATCAGAGGGTCTTGAAAGCAAACCAGTCTGTAAGCCATTTGACTTCAAGATATGTGTGTTCTGCAACCATTGGATGTGAAAAATTCAGTACTTGAGGGCATTTTGTCTTCTAAAGGTTCAAGTACAGGAAGACTCAGGTGACTCCGAAGTGGAGAATGAAGCAAAAGATAATTTCCCACCTCAAAAGAAGCCAGTTTGGGTGGATGAAGAAGATGAAGATGCGGAAATGTAAGTTGCCTAGTTTTTCTTCCAGAATCCCTCTGGATACTTTCAAAATTATATTGCATGTTTTTAAAAAAGTTCTCTTTATGAATATGTGATTATGTGAATATCCGAAAAATAAATGGAAAGTATAGGTCATTCCTAATCCAGCCACCGAGGTAGAACCACTATGAACACGTTGGCCGTCTCTCTTCTTTGCAGTCTAGACCTGCGCTTGCCTCCTAATTTGACCAGTTGTAACTGATCACGGGCAAGTTTGTAAAATGGAGATGATGATAGTAACTATACCTGAAGGCTTTTGAGATAAATGAAATAGTGTATGTAGAGCTCTTAGCATAATACCTGAAACTGAGAAAAGGCTAAAAAAAATTAACACACAATATGTACTTTAATAGATGAGAATGAGTATATTGCACGCATTTCTCCCCGCTTAAAAAAAACTGTATAAACATTTTTAAATGGATGTATTATAGTGTATATGAGTTAACTATAATTTCCTTAGCTAATTAACATATTTGTCTCCTCATATAGTTACCTTTTTTTGTGGTGAGAGCACCTGAAACCTACTCTTAGTAAATTTTTAGTATACAATGTTATTAACTGTAGTCATGCTGTATGTTAGCTCTCTAGGCTTATTCATCCTACATAACTGCAACTTTGTACCTTTTGATCAATAGCTCCCCATTTCCCCCAGCTCTCCACCATATAAGTGAGATCAGTTTTTTTCCTCTGTACCTGGCATATTTCACTTAGCATAATGTCCTCCAGGTTCATTCACGTTGTCATAAATGGCAGGATAAGACTGTTTCTTTTTTTTTTTTTTTGTAGAGGGCAGTGTGAGACTGTTTCTTAATGATTTTGCTATATCAACTCCTTAACATACTGAGAATTTCAAACCTTATGTCAAATTTATTGTAGCTTTTCTCCCAGCTTGTTTGCCTTTTAATTTTGTTTTTAATGTTGTCTGACAGTATTTACATTTTTAGATAGTCAAATCTGTGGATTTTTTTCTTTTTTCTTTTTGTTTTTAATAGTAAAAAGTCCATCAGAAAGAGACAAATGTTTGCCTATATTTTTCCTTCATAATGTTTTAAGGTTTGGTTTTTTAATATATTTAATTTTTTGTTTTTTACTTAGAATTTATTTAGGTGAATGGCATAAGCCATGTCTAGATAAGTCCTTAGGAATTTGAAATATTAGCTCTTCAAAGGGTAAACTGGATGATATGAAATATTGGAGACTCCTTTTTGTTTTGGGAGGAAGGAAAATGTGTGTCTGAGATGTTTCACATCTTCTGAATTTTGACCTATGTTCAATTAAATGTTTTCTTTTACTGCTAAATACAACTATTGATGTTGATTCTTTTTTTTTTTTTAAGATTTTATTGGGGAATTGGGGGAGGGGAACAGTGCTGGGGAATCTGGGGAAGGGGAACAGACAAGTTGCTGTCCTTTTGTTCTTCAGTCGAGTTGTGGAGGACGTCGCTTCACTGGCCCATGTTGGTATTATTATTGCGCTCTTCCTAGGTGAGGCAGATCGTCGCCGGCCTCTGGACGGCCGCTCACAGTGGCTCTTGGCAGCTCACACCAGCTGCCAGCCGCTCATGCTGGCTGCCGGCCACACACGGTAGCTTATGGCAGCCCACTGCAGCAGGGGCTGCAGCCTACACCGTCGCCGGTGACTCATGGCATCCCAGCTCCAGGTTGAGCTGTTGTTCACTATCTTAGCTGTAGAGGGCAGTGTCACTGGCCCTCATGTGGTATCCGAACCGGGGCCCTGCTGTACAGAGCTGGCGTCCCAAGCCAGCTCTTAACCATCACGCCACTGGGCCTGCCCTATGTTGATTCTTTAAAAGTCATTTAAATTACGTTCTTCTGTTTTTTTATAGGGTTGACATGATAAGCAATCGTTTTCGGAAAGATATGATGAAAAATGCCAATGAAAGTAAACTGTCAAAAGATGAGCTTCAAAAAAGACTTAAGGAAGAGTAAGTATTCTTTTTCATATCATTTAATCAGGAGGTATTTTTAACCAGTAGTTTGTTTTGCCTTTTTTTTTTTAAGAAATTTTATTGGGGAACAATGTTTTTTTCCAGGACCCATCAGCTCCAAGTCAAGTAGTTGTTTCAATCTAGTTGTGGAGGGGGCAGCTCCTTGGCCCATGTGGGAATTGAACTGGCAACCTTGGTTTTATGAGCCTACGCTCTAACCACCTGAGCTAACTGGCCATCCCGCCAGTAGTTTATTTTGATTTACTCAATTTTTGGCTGCAATAGCTTCTTGGGTAGTAAGATTTTCGTTTTGAAACAGTAAGAACATTGCTATTGGAACCAATGATTAAATTTTAGTATTTTGGGGGAAGAGGGAATACAAGTCTAAAAATATCTGGAAAAAAATTGTAACCCCACCACCCAA